TGAAATGATTGATAGAGCTCTTTCTTTCCTGGCTTTGATTTTTCTTTGTGAAATTGGATAACTGCTGCCTTTTTGCTCTTTTAAAGAATCAACCTTTTCTTCTTAGGGTGAAGTGCCAGCAACAATGATTTGCAAAAAAGTTAAAAAAAAAAAAAAAACTCTACAAATTCTAAATTGTGGGAAAAAAATCTATAATGCTCAGTTGCATCCACTGCATTGTATGTATTTGTCTTGAATACTCGCTCAAAACCTAATATTTTTCACTTTGATAACTTTACTGAACCATACGTTTGTTTTACCAGCAGTAAAAGTTAGGAGGTTACTAGCGTCTTAGTTTACGGTAATGTGCTTATGAATGAATATGTAAGTCAGGAAATTATGGTCTTTATAAACAGGATAAAAAGGTGCATGTTTCTGGGGTGAGCTGTGCAGCATGAGATACGGAGAGCATAAAAAAAACAATCTTTTCCTCTTAGCTCGTGTGCCCACAGACACCTATTGGACATGATTACTGAAGCAGGAAGCCAAGTGTGTGCTAATATTCTCATTTACTGAGCTTATCATCATCCGTCTTCTCCTGTGCCCTTGATGCGCACGCGGTTCTCCGAGCAGATCCCTGTGCTGCAGACTTGGCAGGTTAAATTCAACGTAATGCTGCTCGGTGGTAGCCGTGTGAAAGGGTTATGGAAAGACCATGCTTGGGAATAAAGCTGACAAGCGCTCACACTGTATTATTTTTTTTATTTGAAGGTTGTATGTATTTGTACTCCGAATGGTTTTGGAGTAATTCTTCAAGGAGTTTACTTTGTGTGATAAGGGTACAGATGCATACCGATCATATTTGCATGGAAACAAGGGAGGTATTGTCCAAGCTCAAATACGACAAGGTGTTTGGAAACCTGTATGCTCACTTTGTAGCACAAACAGCTGGTTTTACAGTTATTTTTTGTGACCTTCAGTAGTTAAATTAGCAGAGCAGAGAGCTGCATATCGGATGTGCAAACGTGCAGCCACTGAGACGCTGGGTAGTTTCATATAAAGGGGAAAAAAAGCAAAATGGCTGGAGTGGGAATCTACGGAGGTGGAAATCTAACAGCGAGATGGCTGTTAGGAAGACACAGAAGAGCCTTTGGGGCAGGGGACGCCGGATCTGCGCGGCCACAGGGGCTGTCACACTGACAGTCCCATTTCAGCGGTGCCTGTAAGAGGAAGGACGAGGCTCTGAAGAGAATGGATTGCTGTGACTTTGGCAGCGGTGCAGAAAAATGGGAAGGAAGAGCTTAAGAAAATGAATTGAACGAGACAACCGAGCTCTGAGCCAGCAGAATGATGATGAAATGAGGGAAGTGGACAGGAGTGCAGAAAGCTGCCCCTTTCAGGGAAGGGTTAGTGGAAACAGAGCATGAGTGAGAAAATGGGACTGGGAAGGGACGTGGAGAATACAAAGAAGCAGAACAGAAGATACAAATTAAAAATCTGAAATACTGGCTGGCTGTTATTATGGCAGCAGCCATCAGCTTGTACAGATGAAGAAAAACTGCAGATGCTCCATTTGGAAGGAAAATGTGAAACTAAATTGCTTTTAGTTGCTTAATGGAGGAAGCTTACGGCTTCTTCCAGAGGCCAAAGGCTTCAAGAGGCCAGAGGTTTTGGAAGTCTTGTTTGAGGTGCTGAGATTTTTGCCTCCCTGTTTAGCTAAGTTTTCACAGATTGCTAATTTTTCCAGCTTTTGCAATCATGCTGAGCAAGTAGAATGCAGCAAAGTCATCTTATTGCCTGAAAAAAATCCCCATTGGAGTTTGTGAGCTGCTGGATAGTTTCAGGGCAGCGTGGTGGGACTGTAAGGTCCTGAATTGTGCTCCTAAATCCATGGGCTGGGTGTTGCTGCGGGATGGGGTCCTGTCGCCGCAGACGTGCCGCTGTGCGCTCCCGCTGCCCCCTCCAGCTCAGGGCTCGCTGCTTTAAAAGGCTGCCCAATGCATGTTTGCCTTTCCTGCATTTCAGCCCCTCTCGACTGGGTTTCCCTGGAGCAGAGCTGTGAATGCTGCTGAAAATTCGGGTCACCGATAAGCGCTGCCTCTTATCCATGTCCACTAACCTGCCTCTTTATAAGCTGTACCCTTAGGGACACCGGGGATGTTCTTTAAAGGCTGGCTGTATCTTTTCATTTCATGTGTGTTTTCTAAAACGCCTTCGCCGCTTGTCAAATCAACTCGGTGCTTGTCCTTTGGTGCGTTACGTTTTATTGCTGCCGAGTTTAGAGGTCGTTGCTGCTTTGGCGTTTTCGGGCTCAGCTTCGAGCTTGCTCTGCTGCTTGGAGAGCTTGGGCAGTAGCACAGGCTTTCTGGGCTGGAAAGGGAGTGGATGCTGCAGCGACCGTGCCAAGGCGAGGAGGGATGTGTGGGAGAGAGCGAGAGGCTGTGGTTGGAAGAGGGCTGCTCTGTGGCAAGTCTTTTACTTTCTAAAGGGGGAAATTGGAGATAAATGAGAATTTTTACAGAGTGATTTAGACTAATGCTGATTAATAGCAATACTTACATTCTGGCTTTTATTTTCTCTGGTGTTTTCTTTACACTAATGCCACTGTTTATGTTGTTATATAATCTGATATATTATTTTTTTCAGTTTGATTTTGGGGTATTGATAGTGCTTTATCGTTCAGTGAAAATCCCCTTGTGGAAAATCCCGTCCTTCCCAGGCTCACGGGTGTACATAGTCCTCCACCGTGTGACATTTCACAACCCACTCCATCTTCCTGTGCTACTTTCCACACGCTTCCCAGTGTGAGTAGTACATGACCCAGACCACATATTGCAAAAGTAACTCAACTCCTCTTATGTTTTACTAACAAAAAGCCCTGTCGCTTTTTGAAAATTTCATTTGCTTCTAATTCAGGCTAAACAAACATGTTGCTTTTTCCCTGCTTTTTTAATCTAGGGCCCCCTAGGAAGCTGAATCTTTGTATTTCTACCTACCCTGAAACACGGAAGCTTTCCCTGGGGCTGCAAGAAGAGTTCAGCTTTGTACAAATAGAGATGCGGATGGTAGGATCTGGGTAGGTACCACTACTGGGAATAGAGACCAACACCCTCTGTGTGAACTGTGAACAGCTGCTGGGGTCAGTTTTTAGCTGAGATAGAGTTGCAAAATTTTGTTCATTCAGTGGCTTAGAGAAGTGCAACAACTGCATACGCAGCCTTACAAGTTGTGTGGCTCTTTTGAGTTGCTGAAGGGTTCTTGAATATTGGATTTTGGTGCAAAATAAGGTGTGACAACTTGCGTGTCTTTCCCTGAGGTGCATGTTTGTATGTGGAGATGACCTGCCTGGTGACAACTTGTAGCCCTTTCAGTCATGCCCATTTAAACATGTCCAGAAAAAATATATGCTGCTTTGTGAAAATCTGTGTTCAGAATTTGTTTGCCAAATTCGCAAAAACTGCTTACTTGGAATTCCAGCTTGTAGTTGCTAGAGATGCTTTTTAAGAAATTATATCTGGGCAGCAAAGGACTAATCGGGGAAACTTGATATTCAAGTAGTCCCCATCACTCCACTCCTCCGCAAGAGGAAAATCAGATCTGGGTTGTAGCACTACCAAGTAACTTTAAGGAAAGCCCTCGTGGTGAAGTGCCTCTCCTAGCATCTCCCTGGCTGTTACTTAGCAAATCAGGGCTTTTATATAATTTTTAGTGGTCTTGTTGCTGAGCTGGGTGGCAATTCTGCACTTCTGAGTCACGCGCCTTGACATCCTATCGCTTTCCCTGGCAGCCTCCTGAATCATAGATCGGGCGCTTCAGACTCGAGCGCTGCTTCGTCCTTGAGATGTGGTTCTATAATAGAATATTAATTTACTCTTGATAAGCACAAAATCAGCCCGCGATGCAGCTACTGCTTTGCTCAGGTAGCCTTGGACAGCCACGGACCTGACGGCACTCACTGGCCAGCTGCAAATAGCAGCAGTTTCTTCCGTCCCTGTCTGCGCTCACGTTTCGATACGTGGGGCATTAAGAAAGGCTTGATTCCTTTTCAGGAGAGGCTGGTGAGGAAAGGGGAAGCGTGAGAGAAAGTGGTAGCGTTTCTGCTGTGGATCTTGCGGCATTCTGCTTGAGAACACGTCGCTGTTTCTGGCCGTTTTCCCTAATATTTTTTAGGCTTTATAGCCATCTTGATGGTGCACCCTCTAGTCTCTATGAAGTGCTTCCATAATTCTGTTAGGTGCATGAGCTTTCTGCAGACTCCATCTTTTCTAAGATATTACAGTTCAAGTTACTTCCTTTCAACTAATTTAGTCATTTTTGTATCCCGTCATGCTACCGAAAGCACTGCGTGAAGTCGTTTTTCATCTTGATCAGAGAGTAAGGAGTGATGTTTCCCATCCCATCAGGAGCAGTGTGCCTTATCTTACTCTCCTATTTCTAGTTTTTTTTTCAGAGCTGCAGTGTTGCTGAAAATTTACTGAATTTTTGCATCTTTTGGATCATAAAGTGTCTTGAAAGTTCTGTCTTGGTGCTGCTGGTGTGTAAGGAAAGTCGGACCAGCTGGAGTCAGGAAGAAGGTTGATAGTAATCGCAATAAAGCGCCTTGGGACATGTACGTGACTAAGTTAGCAGGCCCGTATGCTGTGAAACGGTTTCAAAAACCTGTATATTAACACCCAGCAGTTGTGGTGCATGTTTAAGCCGGCGGTTGGAGCTTCAGCAGTTGCTCTGTGATTTACCCTGTAGTTCCTTCTCGTCATCCTAGTCTCTGCGCAGAGCGAGCTCTTCCCCAGAGCGTTTGTGCTGGGTTGGTTGATCCGGGCCATGGGCAGGAGCGATTTCTTGTCTGTAAATCAGTTTCTTTGTCTTAGATCCACCAATCCCACTAACATAGTGGCTGCTGCCCCGGTGAGGGTCCCTAGGCTGCCTTGTCTCCCGCCCAGCGTTAGGAATACGTAATGGGGAACTCGTTCAAGCAAGAAGTAGATGCTCCAAGCTGAAGATGATCGGCTGCTCTCTTTTAACAGACAAGTCTGAGAAGGAAACCCCATTCGAATCCCCTTTCATTCTGGATTGGTGGATCTGAAGCCCAGAAACAAAGTTTCAGGTAAGAAGCCACCCTGTACTCTCTCTTGCTGCTTATGCTTAGTTGAGTTTGTCTGCACATTCAGTACCTCGCTTAACTGCTTCATGTCCCCCAAATGTTAGCGCGCACCAAGGTAGCCGCGGATGTGAGTTTAGGGTAAGAAAGGGCAAATTCAGTCACACACGTGGGCTTTATTAGGAAATTGCAGGTTTAATCTGCAAGGTAGATCTAGGACCACATGGTGAACTTGCCTCCCGTGGAGCTAGCAAGTGGTATCTCCAGGAACAGGGGCACCAAGCAAGTGCCGTATAGTTCTCGCTTCCGAAAGGACAGAAGAGCCTTATGGATGACTTGGATCTTTTCAGTCAAGCTTAGAGAAGTCGTAGCTTTCTGCTCTGATTTCTAGCTGCATTTTTCTCCTGACTTCATCAAAAATGTAGAGAGCTTTCTCCACTTGTTTGTATTACAGATTCCAGCGCTATCCTGTTGAAAGGACATTTAAATTTCTATTGTGGGCAGCACTTGGAGTCAACCTTTTAAATCCTTAACCAGCTTGCAACTTAAAGCTCTGCTTTTAGTTGTTTTCAAAGTCCAGGCAGGCCAGTGGCAAGGCATGTTCTCTATAAAGTTATAACAGGTTTATTGCAGAGTAGCAGGTCTGTTTTGAGGCATCCCCATCGTGGTACTCTGAGGATTGGAAATAGCTGTACGAGGCTGCGATACGGTATCTTTAAAGCAAGTTTGTAAGGTATCCGTGTGCATTAGGAAGGAAAGGCTGTTTCAAAAAGACTTGCCTCAAGTGTCAAGTGTGAATTCGAGACCCAAACCTCTCCTACCACCCGGCTTCCTTGCAAGTTAGAGCTTTAACCAACTTGTCACCTTATTTCTGAGGTTCTCCTAGGCTAAAGCGGGTCTACCTGCACAGCTCTTTTTGATATTAATAACACTAAGCTGCTTGAGTCTTGCGTGTTCTTTTGTAGACAGCTATTAAACCAAATCTTAAGGCATAAATATTTTTAATATGCTGTAGAAGAAACTCTTGTAGGTGCTGTTGATAATACGTATTGTTTTACCCATGCATTTGTTTTGCTGCTGTGGTATTTTTTTGCCAAAATTATACTTGAATTTAATAAATATATAAAATGATTTATGCTTAGGCCACTGTTGTTTCCTGGCTTGATTTTTGGGCTATTTGAATTGTACTTGGTTATTTGGAAAGGTCTTGGGCATGTTTTTTCTTTCTTCGTAGTATAATTTAATGCTTTCAGTGGTGAAAGTCTGAGGCAAATAGTAACTTCAGTCTGACACGTTTCTTGCCGTGTCTTCTCATATCAGCTTGAATTTGTCCCACATAACAGTCAGGCTGCTTCTAGCCTTGGAGCTACCCTGCGAAATAAAACCTTCTTGTGGAACACTTGCTGTTCAGCACAGGCCTTTTTTAAAATGAGGGAATGGGGAATCAGAAGTGAACCTGAAATTTTTAATGATGAAAACTGAAACGAGGAAATAATTTAAAATACAGTCAGAAAAGGGGAAGCTTAAATGTATGCCCAAGTTAGCCAACATAATGATATGAAATATTATAACTACTCATTCTGAAACATGAGAAGGTCTTATCGAAAGCAATAGTAATGTTAAGTTAAACTTGAGTGCAAGTGTATGCAGGCTGGAAGCTTAGTCCTGGTTCAGGCTTTAAAACTCTTTAATTTTTTTTAAGTGAAATATAAGAGTACTTTCAAAGGCTATTTAAATATTCCTCTGTTGTCTTTGAAATGGAAACACTGGATGTGAATCTAGTATTTTATTACGTACTAATAACCCAGACTCTATACCCATGAATGTGGTCAAATTAAAGTTCACACCACCTAGATCTTTAGAGCAGATTTTTAGATCCTGCTGCTGTGTTAGGTTGCTAGCCCGCAAAGTTAACACAGAGAAGAGTTTGAGCCAACTCTTAATGTGTTAATTGCGTTTTCAGCCCCTATTTTTCCTCTATGTTGAACTTTTCCCTTAGTTTCTGCTATTTCAGGTGGCAGTTGTAGGTGCCCATGCAGGTTTCTCGTTGTTTGTCAGCTGTGATTTCCTGCTGGCAGATGTGCTGCTGTCTCCAGCTGTGCGCAAGCCCCTTGGTTCTGCTGCCTTAGAGGACAGGGAAGGCGCTGCCCCCAAAATGGCCATTTCTGTGTGACGTGGGGTCTGTTCATGCAGAAAGGACTATCATGCTTTTGAGGTTTCAAAAGTGTTGCAGTTCTGAGGTATGTACGTGGAGGAAGCGAAGATAAGTGTAAATACTGTGTATTTGGGGAAATTCAGATTGATCTCATTTAACACTGAGTGACTTTGATATGAACATGTAAGAATTTTCTGCCTAGTCTCTTGTATGCTTCTGAAAACAAGGTATTACATCTCACCCTTATCCTGATGAATAAATTATAATGGAGTAAGATTGTTATTTTATTAAAGGAAAGCATTAATAATCTTTTCTCTACTGAACCCCTGTTCCTTTTGCAGCATTTATTTTGCTGTAGCAAACATACTTTGATCTCCAGGAGCAGAATGGGACTGCATTATTGATCACCCTCCTAGGAATTCAGTGTCCTGTGTAGAAGAACGGTGTGGTAATGAGGAGAACTTGTCTGCTCAAATTATTTCTCATTTGTCTTGCTTCAAATGTCCTGATGTCTCACTTAGTGTTTCTCCTCAGATGCAAAGCTCATGTGCAGACCTTGAGTGACAGCTGGGAGGGGGATCATGGAACAGATTTTAATGGAATTTAACTAACTGTATTTTTCATTTAATTTTTTTCTAATGTGTTTTGCTATGCTGCTAATGCTTATCTTTGGGAGACTCGTTTTACATTTGTAATTCATCACAAGCACAAAAATTGAAGAATACATTAAGCCTGTTTTTATAAAGACAACATTTCTGGCTTGAATCTAGCCCCTCTTAAATCAAAGCTTAACAGATATGTGAAACTTTTTGAAAATACTTCGTAAGAATGATGCTTGGACTGCCTTCCAGATTGGTCACTCAGGTCTGTGCATGAGATAGCATTTTGTGGGGGGAAAAGGTAGACGTGATGCCACTGATTCAAACCAGCTTGTACAGAGCACGTAAATACACTGCACATCTCAAGAGACAACTTGGGTTTGAAATGAAAAAAGGAAGGCACCAAAGCGCTACTCTTGATCTACCATGAATTATTGGCATTATATTGGCTCTCAGAGCTTCTCAGTAGAGATCCTCAACGCTGAGCCCACGTGTGCAGCGCAGCAAATGAATTCCCAAGCCGTGCCAGGCTGTCCCTTGTGGAACACACTTCCCTCGGGTCACGTGCATGCCCCACACTCTGCTCCTGCCTTCATCGCCGCGGTTGAGCGACGCTTTCACGTCTCCCCGTCGATATGCGGAGTACGTGATCCGCTGGCCTGCTCGGTGCAACACTGCTCTGCTTGTCAATATTCCCAATGACTCACTTAGATAAAAATGCCAGGTAAGATGTGGATGATAGCCCAGCCTGCAAAGAGCTTTGTGTTTGAGGAGCCGGCAGAGAGTCCCTGCTGAGCGTAAAACGATACTGAAGGCCTTTAAACAGGGTACTGCTTTACAGGCTTTTTACCTTATTGTGGCTAATGCTCATTTATTGATTTATTTTTGGAAAGTCTGAGCTTAATATTAAAGTTGACTAGTGATCATGCTTCTTTCATAAGTGCTGAAGCTATCCCAAAATGGGTTTGCTTTGCAGTTTACCCCTTTTCGCAGCCTTAAATCTGAGCTACCAGGGGATGGCTCTGCCTTTTACAGATACAGACCAGTTCCCCCATGGGTCTTAACTTTTCCATAGTAAGCCCTAATAGAAAAAAACAAGAGGAGAACGTATCAGTTATGTGGCACCGGATCCAAAATGAAGTAAACCAAACAGTAAATTCAGTGCTGAAAAGCCCATTAGTTTCTTAAAGCTAAAACATGAAGCAAATTCAGAATGAAGATTTAAAATTTTGATTATACCTGATTTTGCCAATGTGAAACTCTTCCTCGTTCTCTGGAAAGCCAGGCCATAACTCAGCTTTCTGAGGAGCTGTTTTGCTGTCACCAGGAAGTTGGGAAAAGCATTTCAGGCTCCAGGATTTATAAGCCTGAATGGCTGGTTAGGCTCTTCTACCTAATTGCATTTTTTATTACACATTGCATAAGCAAAAAAGTTTTTGTGGAAAGAGTTTTTTTCAATGGTATTTGAAAGTTAAGTAAGTTGGATTCTTCATTTGTTTTATTGTATTTTTCTTCGGTTGTCAATTTTCCCCTCCCTTCTTTTCCCCTTCCTCCTCAAAAAAAGATTATTGATCTCCAACTAGAAACTCATTTATAAAATGTTGATGGTGGTTTACTTTAATAATAGAATTTTTCAAACTATAAGCATACTACTAAATTTGATTTCCTTTAATTATCTTGCATAGGTAAAATGTATGTCGTTTTGGTGGAAAAGTCCCAAGACCAGGATTTTAGTGCTCAATAAACCTTTGAGGAATCAGGCTTTTGGTAATGCAAGTGTTGATATTCTCAACATTGTAATATTTCCATCACTGTTCTGTTTGGAGGTAATTCCTAGTTTGGAAGGCAACTAAGTCAAAAGTTACTTGACCTTTTGCATTGCTTGAGCAAAACAGCAGTGTGGAATGAATGCAAAGTGTAGGCATTGAGCTGTTCGGGGGAATAAGCTTCTTACCTCCATCCTAAAGGAAATTACTGACGTATCTATCACTTACTGCAGGTAGGAGCACTGCTGTGTGCTTTAACATTCATTAAAGAATTTCTTAGCCTCTGACACTGAAGGCAGAAGCACATTGTTTTTACTGATGTTATTTGGAGCTTTGTGTTGCATCGTGAGCTAGCAAACACCTGCAGAGGCTCCCAAGATCTGCCATTTAAGATCAAAACTTAAATCTCAAAATGCAGTTCCGGAGGTTAGAAAAACCAAGCGGTTCTTTTTACAGAATAACAAATTCTCACCTATTAAGTGTATTATCCTCTCATGAGGCATCTAAGATGAGCAAAGTAGTTTCTGCATTTGCTTTTAGTCCTTCGCTCTCATTCCCTCCTTGTTCCAATGCCGGGCAGCCCCTCTTCCATCCTTTGGCTTGCTCCCTCCTCCCAAATAACACATTTAAATGAACTAGGCAGAAAAAAAATGCTAACTGAGCTGACTAAAACCCTGTAACATTATTTAATTCCTTGAAAATGGAGTTTTGCTTGGCCTTATTTTGCCCTGGGCGATTGCACTGGCTGCCAGGGCGATGGAGTGAATATTTTGCCCCTCAAGCAGTGATGATGCCGGTGGTTTTTTTTATACACCGAAGTGCAAGTTGCCTTTGCAAACTGCCACCCTTAACTTTGCACTAGCAGCTCTCACTTTTTTGCCATCTTATAGCATTTTCAGGCTTCCAATAACCTTTATGGATATGTGCAGTGTGACTTCCAATAGGAGCTGTTTGATACCCCTGGTCAGGCACAGGGCAGCTGAATGGTGGCAAGTGTCTGAGGGAAAGTCACTCCAATCTGCCTAAGTGTTGACTTCCTGAAGCTTTTTCCTTTTGTTTTTTTCCCTCAGTTACGTGGTTTTCTCCAAGATGACACAGATGTTTGTCCCCCCGGTTTGTTCGGGCTGCTGTGCTGGCTGCTCGGCTCAAGCTGCCTAGGAAGCAATGGCCGGCGCAGTGAGTTCATATAGGACACTCTTCCGTTCGTTTTCCCTTTCCCAATCTTTGCTTTATGGTGCTACAACTCCCTGAGATCCCCTTGAAGGGGAAATGGGAAGTGCTAGGCTAGGTCAAGACTCTTGTTACTCAGAAATTAAACATTTACGATGAGCAGCTCCCATTCAGGCAGGGTCAAGAAATAGGCTGTCAGTGAAGCCCACAAGTATTTGCACGTTCCTGTTTTAGTGTGAAGCAGAATGCAAGGTTGAATTTGTAGTATAGCACAGCAGCGTTACTGCAGTGAAGTGCCCCATGTTTTCATAAAATCCTTTCATTCAGGGTTTCATATCACCATGGAAAAGCTTTTCTTGGCTTAAATGTGGCATGGAATTGACTTCTCTTTCCCTAGTATGTTTTGAAGTGTATTAAAAAAGTGCTCTTAAGTTACCCATATTTCTCTTTAGGTTCTTTATATTTAGCTTATTTAAAGTAGTTCCTAAAACCAGTGTTAGTTTGTGGAACCCTAAAGTCCAACTGCGGTCTGAATAAGTAACTGGGAAGGCTTTAGGTATAGATTCATTATACACATGATTTTGCATGGCTTATTTTAAGTTCTGAGGGGACAAGGTTGTTACATTTCTTGATCAGTGTGGTTTTTTTCCAAGCTTTTGCTTAGTTATGTGAGCAAAATTTGAATTTTTGAACTGAAGCAAATTGGAATTTTTAGAATTGCTTGTGAAGCAAAAACTTGCTTGGGCTTTACCAAATATCTGCAGTGATGCACTGAATTCTGGTTCAGTGTTGTGGAACCACCATTCAAATATTGCCCTGAATTGGTCAAATAATGAAACACAAAATAAAGAGAATGTCCTAATTATATGCATTTTTTTTTCTCAAAAATGAGCCAGATATATAAATATATTTTTTATTCTTCTGGCATTCCTAATAAAAGATATTCTGCCTTTCCTTAGTAATATAAAAGATATTCTGGTAGTTGTTGAAATTAAGAAAGTTCCTCTGATACCAGTACCACACTTCTAAGAATTAAAATTGAAATGTGTCGGGGGAGAGTCAAAACCAACTACTGCAGAGCAGCCACGTTAGTGACTCGGGACCTGAGGGAGAAATCATGCTTCACCAAACTTAAAATACAAATCTTCTAATAATACAAGATTGTATCATTTACTTTGCAATTGAAGGAAAAAATAATGCAATTTAGCATTAATGTTTATGTATCCGTGCACAAGATGTATGCAGCTCTTAATTACATTGAAATACGTAACCCAAAACATCCCTCTTTACTTGCAACCCTCCTGCAGGATCAGCAGAGAGGATTGGAGTGGGTTTTTGGTGCAGCTAGAATCGTTCCTGTCCTCGTGTTGCTTTGTCATTTCTCCTTAGAATGGAGATGAAAACCTGGAGCTTTCCTGGTTTTATTCCTAACGTCTGAAATAAAAAAGAGGGTTGGTCTGGGTTATTGCCCCTTGCCTCATTTCTGGTGCATTAAATGCTTTCTCTGAGTCCTCTCCTGTGCTTGTTCTGCTTTTAACTTTGATATGTGTGTTTTTTCTCTCTTTTCCTTTTTTAATGATTTGGTATTTGTTGTACCTAAATTGGAAGCCTCTTTTAACAATATTGAAAACTGAAAACTGAAGTGACAATATTGAAATACCAAATTTTAGAGCTGGGATTACATCCCACTTTACAGCGGGAGAAGAAATCTGCTTGCCCCATTTCTGGTGCATTAAATGCTTTCTCCGAGTCCTCTCCTGTGCTTGTTCTGCTTTTAACTTTGATATGTGTGTTTTTTCTCTCTTTTCTTTTCCTTTTTTAATGGTTTGGTATTTGTTGTACCTAAATTGGAGGCCTCTTTTAACAATATTGAAAACTGAAAACTGAAGTGACAATATTGAAATACCAAATTTTAGAGCTGGGATTACATCCCACTTTACAGCGGGAGAAGAAATCTGTTTCATTTTACCTCTCTAGTGAC